CCCTACACTTCTAATACCTTTGTCTGTGTGATATAATCACCCACCCCCATGAAATGACAGAAGGGTGATAAAGGAAATGGAGATACTTAATGAAATCTTCATTATTGGCCTAGTTCTGCTTCCACTGAAGCCAGCGGGAGTCGTTATGAACTTCAGTAAGAGCAGGGGCCAGTATTTAAAAAAATGCAGGGAGCTTTATGCCAAGGGTTTCAAAACAACAACATTTACTCCGGAGAAATATTGCTGGTCTAGTGTCTAAATATATAAAATATGTATTATATTTTCGCCAAATGCATCTGACACAAACACAAGAGAACACAGTGACACTGTTTGCAAGTATCAAGGCCTCTTACATAGCTGACAAACCCTAGCACTGAAGTTCTTTGTAGATCCTGTGTAAGAATTCTGACTTTCCTTATTTTGCAGTAATTAGGAGTTTGAATTTTGAAATCCTGTGTTCTAAAAGCTGCAGTTCATCAGTGTTCTCTTCCTACCCTTAACATTTTTCTAAATGATAGTCAAAGATGTAGTGAATGAATGTCTGCAAAGCACTTACTTTGACAGAATGAGTAGCACTACAGGAAAGCGAAGCGTAACATTCCGTGGATAACATTTAATTTTTCAAATAGGTAATTATACTATTCTTCAGCTCTAACTCCAGATCTTCTTTCACAGGGAGAGACCCCTCTACCTAATGTGATGGAAACAGCCTTTTATTTTGAACAGGCTGGAATTGGCTTGAGCAAAGATGAATCCTATCTCATATTCCTTGCCCTTAAAAAACTAATTAGTGTTCAGCCAATCCAGACCTGTCGCTTCTGGGGCAAAATTTTGGGCCTGGAGATGAACTATATTATAGCTGAAGTACAGTACCATGAGGGGGAAGAGGAGGAGGAAACAGAAGAGGAAGAAGTTATTGAGGAAGGAGGGAAAGGGATGGGTGAAGTCGAAGATGAAGATGAGGAGAAAGAAAAACAAGATGAACCACCGAAGTCCACCTATAAGCCCCCACCTGTCATCCCAAAAGAACAAAATGGGACTGGGGCTAATAAATATGTCTACTTTGTCTGTAATGAGCCAGGCAAACCCTGGGTGAAGTTACCTCCAGTGACGCCAGCCCAGATTGTCTGTGCCAGGAAAATCAAGAAGTTCTTCACTGGTAGGCTGGATGCTCCTGTTGTGAGCTTTCCTCCTTTCCCTGGAAATGAGGCCAATTACCTGCGTGCACAGATAGCTCGTATCTCAGCAGGACCCCAAATCTCTCCCATTGGATTCTACCAGTTTGCAGAGGAAGAAGGAGATGAAGAGGAGGAGGGGGGAGGAGGAAGAGATACATACGAAGAAAACCCTGATTTTCAGCCTCTTTCTGTGGCTGAAATGGTGGATTCTCTCTCCGCGTGGGTACACCATGTACAGAGTATTCTTAAGCAGGTATGTTTGGGCATAGCTCACCTGGACCGCGGATACCTTTCACATTGTACTACTCGTAGGGTTTCAGAATGTAAATGAAACTCCTCACCTGCACATTTGAACTATTCACCAGAAATAGTATTGTACTGAAATATTTTTCTACCTAAAATATATTTAATATATAAATATGTTGCACATATTTACATAGAGCATATACTATTTAATATATATCTATATATTTAGAAGCCTTCTAGGTGTAACTACTTTTTTCAGTAGTGTGTTCTTGAGATCAAAACCTAACTTTAGATAACAGTATGGAATTAGGCCTTGATAGATTACAATAATCTCCAGTAATCTTCTATATGAGGTTTTCTCTTTTGAAGTCCTTACTTGACAAAAATGTTTTAGATTGTCTTTTCTTGTGTAGGATGCTAGAATGCAGATAGCTTATAACTATATGCTAAATGGAACTTAGTTGATATTCTTTTCTGGTTTATTTTTTGTTGCTTACTTTCTTCTGTGATACAAGCAAATAAAAAAGCTTTAAACCAAAATATTGTAAATAAAATTGTAGCATAAAATATTCACGATATCAGGCTAGTGCTAGAAAGAGGTATTACTAATTTGATGATCATTGCTGGATGACTTGCTGGCCTGTCTCCAAATTCAAGAATGCTCATGTAAAATAACAACAAATGGTAGGAAATAAGGTTTAAAATTATTACCAGAAAAACAATAGTTGAAAAAATAAAATCTATATGCATTAGAATCTTAAGAACATTTTGTTGTGTTTCTCTGACTGGCAGCTATACCAAGGCAAACTTTAAAAGGAAGGGGCAACGTCTGTAAGCGGTAGCCTCTTAGTTTGCAGTAACTGCTAATCTAGCAAGGATACAAACCAAACTGGGAAGGAACTAAAGACTACCAAAAAAAAAAAAGCTGATGAAAGAGGTATGAGGTTATTCTGAAATAGCAAGCAAGGATGAGGGAGGAATGAGGGATATAGGAAATGCTCTGCCAACAGGATACAATATTCTGCCAGCAGTACACCAATTATGAAATATATATTTTTCTTCCCCCCCTTGACTGTGTGTGCCTGTGCCTGAGCCAATTGTTTTAACTGGTTTGCATTCTTTCAGTCGTTACATGCATTTATTATTTTTCCACATCAATTATAGGGCCGCTGTATTTGGCTTAATCCTTTTAAAAAATCAGAGGAAGAAGAAGAAGAAGGTGAAGAGGAGGAGAAAGCAGAGGATCCAGATGAATTACAGCAAGAAATAGGACCTCCTCTTCTCACTCCACTCTCTGAAGATGAAGGTATTCTTCATGGAATATGAAGTTTTTGATAGAGAGCCACTAGGAATGTTGGCGTTTAGGTAGTAAATATCTGAAGTTATAGCACTCTGATGCTTCATGGAGCAATATAGTTTGTCCTGTAGGGTAAGCACATTCTTTTACAAAATTGATCAAAAGCAAAATGGTAAACAGTATTGACATTAGAACTGAAATAATTGGGTTTACCTGTTAACAATCTTGTTGAGAATAAAGGGAAAAAATACCTCAGACTTGTCAGGCTACTGCAAGTTCAAGACAACTCACTATGTGAAATATATTCAGCTATTTGTACATCATCTTTTTAGACAAAAAAAAACCTGTGTCTGCACAGGTAAATAAAGATATATGTATGTACACACATGCATAGATATACAAACAAGAATTTAGATCCTGTAGCGTATTACTGCAGCAAATCATGGGAATATGGGAACTTGAATATTAGATTACATCAATAGTAAATTATTTTCCTACTCTCCATTCTTTGATCAAGGTGAAATATAACTATATAATTTATCCAAAAGTGGTAAAAAGTCCTTGACAAAAGGAACAGCGGTGAGCACTACTGAATTTTGGGAGCATGATCTTTTCTGTATGTGGCTCTATCAGCACTTCTGTGCTACCTACTCATACATCCAAACCACCTGTTTAAATGCAGCACATACATTTACTGTTTCTGACTTCCGGCTCTTCAAATATGCGACTTACTACAACTGTTGCTTGAATTCTGTGAAAGTCTTGTAGCTTAGTCTTACATATTTTGTAGAGGCTCATAAGTCAATTTATTCATAGACTGTGTGTGTTTTGCTGCCTCCAGGAATTCAAAACATCCCTGCTTGGACAGCTCAGCCTTCTACAAACCTGATCCCACAATATGCTATTGCAATCCTCCAGTCTAACCGATGGCCTGGAGCATATGCCTTTGCATCTGGCAAGTGAGTAGCTAGTTGACATGGTTACAAACACAGACTGTGTATGCTAAACACAGATACCTGTCTAATGAAGTCGAAGGTGCTTTATTAATAATTCATTACTTCTAACTATTCCAGAGACTGTCGGACAAGGCCACTTAAATGTGCACAGCAACAGTAATTTAAGACTGAAAATGAATAATAGTTGGAAGGGCTAGTATAAAGTTAATGGGTATAAATGTCCGGTCAGTATTTGGCCACAGCCCTTGATTTAAAACCTATATTCAGCTACATTCTGTGATTCTAATGTTAATTTGCTTCCACCACACATGGTACAGTCATTACCTCTATGTGCTTTTTAGTGGGCACTGGGGTTAGTGTCTGAAATGGCACTATTGTTACCAACGTGAATTTGGAGTTGTATCACGATACAGTGCAGTGACAGAGTACAGCCTTCATCATTTTAGCATCTGGAGATTTTTAAGTGGAAGTTACATTATTAATCAACAGTTACAGCAGTTAAAAAGAGGTGCTGTCTTTTAAATACTTCTGTTAGAGGATATCTGCAGCACAGTGACTTTTTGCACAGCAGAGTAAGGAAGCCTGCCAATATCTCCGCTGATATTTTGTTGGGAGAAGAACGTGTGATCTTTCACTTTTCTTTCTCAGGAAATTTGACAACATCTACTTTGGGTGGGGTCACAAATACAGTCCAGAGACCCACACCCCTGCCCTGCCTCCGCCTGTGCAAACAGAATACCCCAGCGGGCCAGAAATCACTGAGACAAGAGACCCCACTCTGGAGGAGGAACTGGCTTTCAAGGCTGCGAGGGAAGAAGCCTTAGTTGCAGCTGAGGAAGAGGAAGAGGAGGATGATGTTGAAGATGATGAAGAGGAGGAGGATGATTAAAATACAGGGGAAAACATACTTTTAAAGTTTGAACATGAATGGTATTTTCATAAATTAGTCATGAATGATTTGATCTTAAAAGAAATGCAATTGGAGTGTGCCTTCTTTTTTGACCTCTGCAGGCTCTTCTTTACAGCTACCTTCCCCTCCCTCCCTGCCCTGCAAGCCCACCCACGCTGGCGTGAAACTGCATTGCTTTCACCAGACGACCACACAATAAAGCAGCCTTTTTCAGAAAAGCAGGCAAACAGTCTGCTTCCCTTTCCTAAAATAATTCTGCTTTCAACCAGGTAGCTGCCATCCACCAAACGTTCACGTTGGTTTTCTAACCCGCACTTCAATACCTATATAAATTCTACTTAAAAAAAAAAAAAAAAAAACACCCAAACATACGTAGGTAACAATGTCACCTTCACGTATTCGGCAGATGGCTTATTCAGCGACTGGCCGCGTACGGCCAACCGCTCCCTTCCAGCCTGCAGCACCGCTGCCCT